CTTCCTTAAGGATTGTGGAGTGCCTCAGATGAGGTCACATCCAGGTAAGTGCTTTATACACTGTAAAGCTATTATTTAACAGCACAACATAGATAAATGATAACGAAGCCTTCATAATATAGAGAATCTCTAAAATGATCTCTCATAGTTCATCTTTATTGACATTTTGACATTATTTTGTGTTACTTTTTAGAATAGTCCATAAAGTCTTGCTGATTGACTTTTACTGTTTTTTTCCTTAACACTCTCAGTGCAGCTTAACCCTCGTCATTATGTGCACTGTGTTCAGTAAGTTGAAACCTGAAGTTTCAACCCAAATGCCATCAATTGATATTAGTGACCAAATCCTTGGTTTCAATGACACTTGATATTCCTCCTATATCTATGGCCATTTATTCTTTCGTCAGAAATATTTAAAATGCACTTTATGTTCCAAGCACTGTGCTAAATTATAAGAGCAGAAAAGTGAAAAAGTAAGACAAGATTCTTGTCCTCATGGAGCTTATAGCTTAATGGAGGAGACAGAAAATAAACTAGTAGACAATTTCAGAGAAGGATGAATACTATAACGAATACAAATGCAGTAATTTGGTAGGGAATGACTGGGGTGTTGGGGAGTGTGGTCAGGAACTGATCAGGTGATGTGAAAATTGGCCCTCAAGAATGGGAAGTGGTGGGGAGGGATAAATAGGCAGAGCACAGAGGACTTTCAGGGCAGTGAAAATATTTTGTATGATACTATAATGATGGATCATGTTATTACACATATGTCTAAACTTGTAAAACGTCCGTGAGTGAGCCTTAATGTAAACTATGGTTTTGGGGTGATTATGATGTATCAATGTAGGTTCATCAGTTTTAACAAATGTACCAACTCTAGTAGGGGATATTGATAATGGGGGAGGCTATGCATGTATGGGGACAAAGAATTTATGGGAAATCTCTATTTTCTTCTCAATTTTGCTGTGAACTTAAAACTGCCCTTAAAAAAAAGTCTTTAAAAAAATGGCTTAAATGTTGGAAAAAAACAATATAAGTGATCTCAAAAATTTAATACATAAATAGGCACTAAATAAAATATTTTATTAACAAAAAGAATAAGAATAAGCCAAGCTGAAGAGTTAGGGCAAAGAGATTTCCAAGTAGTGGGTACAGCAAATGCCAAGCCCCTGCTGTGGGAAAGGAATTGGTGCATTTTAGGAAAGGAAAGGAAGGCTCTGGGTTGCAGAGGGGAGCTCAGTCTCCTGTTCTGGCTTGTCTTCCTCTCAAATGTTGGTCCTGGGTCTCCACCTCTTCTTGCCATATATTCTCCAGGTGCAGATGACTCCCACAACTCTAGTTCCACTTGGAGCCTTTCCTGAGTTCAGATTTGGATATACTCTGTGTACAGGATATCTCCTCCTAGATGTTTGGTAGGCCCTAAAACTAAGTAGCTCTTTGTCTGCATTGTTTTTCACCCCCACTCCTACGTGCTTTACCTCCAGGGCTCATATGGGTAATTGGCACCACTATTTCCTCAGGCTGATCAAGTCTGAAACCTTTACATCCAACGACTGGCAAGACTGAGGATCCTCTGTCCTTCTGCATAGCTCCCAAATCTACTCACTTCTTTCCATCCCACTACATTTGTATATTACATACCATCCTATATACAGAAAACCTACAAGTACCTCCATATCCCTTCCTGCATGTAACTACTATAACACTTCACTGTATATCTTCACAGACTTATAACCATTCATTCAATTGAGTACCTGCTACCTACCAGGCACAGTTCTAGGTGCTAGAGCCACAACAGTGAACAGAAGAGAAGAATATCTGCTTTAACTGACACATGCATTCAAATAGGGAAGACAGACAAGATATTCTATGTTAGGTGGTGACAAGTGCTAGAAAGTACATTAGGGTAAAGAAATAAAATGGAGAGTGGAGGGAGGGGAAGTGGGTGCTAGCGTTAATTTATGAAGGTGGATAGGGAAAGCCTCTAGGACAATTGAGCAGAGATCTAAATGAATCCATGGAGTGAGCTAAGGGGCTGTCTGGGGGAAGATCATACCAAGCAGAGGGAACTGGAAATGTAAAGGTCCTGAGACAGGAAAGTGGTTGATGTGTTAAGGGAATGCTTAGGATCCTGGTGTGGGCCGGAGTGGAAAGATAGAAGGGAAAAGCCAAAGATGAGTCTGAGGTTGATGGGCAAGATCATGTAAATTTTATTCAGAGTGAAATGGGAAGAACTGGAGGGTTTTGAACAGATGATACATTTTAAATGGCTCAGCTGCTATGAGAAAAAAGCATTAAAACAAATATGTATTCATTGTTTAAACATAAAAGGGATATTGTGTGTATTGCTTTACAATCTGCTTTTTTTCAAAGCAAATTTTTAAAAAACAAAATACGGTCATGTTATCTCTTTGTTTAAAATCCTTTGTGGCTTCCCATTTCCCCTCACAATAAAGTCTAAAGCCTTACAAAGCCCTGTCTAGACTGGCTTCTGCCTACCTTACCAGCTCCCAAATCACAGTAGTTCTTTTCCTGGAATGGGATTCAGGGTCTTCGAATGTTCTTGCCCCTTGGTTTAGAGTCAAACTCTTTCCTTTCTATCCACCTTGTCAATGTCTTTTCTAGATCCTGCTTATTAATTCTTTCGTCTATTTAACCAGTATTTATTGAGAGACCTACTATGTGCCAGGTACTATTCTAGGTCCTGGAACATAGCGCTGAACAAAATAGACAAAAATTCTGGCTCTTGTGGGGCTTAAATTCTAGTGGGAGGAAGACAGGGGAAAACAATAAGTTAAAATATGAATATATACATATTCATATATAACTATAAATATATATGTAACTTTATATGTCAGATGGTGATACACCCTAAGGAGAAAAATAAAGCATGTAAGGAGGAATGGGATATGAGGGAATGGGTTACAACTTGCAATTTCAGGTAGGGTGGCCAAGAGGAAGCCTCACTGAGAAAGTGACAGCTGAGCAAAGACCTGGAGGAGGTGAGAGAGTGAGTCAAGCAGATATTTGGAGGAGAGCATTTCAAGCAGAAAGCAAAGGCCCTAAGGTACGAGTCTGCCTGAAGTGTTCCAGGAACAGTGGTCTAGAAATAGTAAAGAGGCCAGTGTGTCAGAGAAGTGTGTTGGGGGCAGGTGAGCTCCAGACGCCCTTATAAGGACCTTGCCTTTTATTGTGAGTGAAATAGGAGCCATTGGAGGGTTGTGAGCAGAGTAGGAGTGACATGACACATTCTGACTTACATTTTAATAGGTTCACTCCAGCTACTGAATTGAGATTAGACTGAGGGAAGCAAGGGCAGAAGTAGAGAGACCAGTTAGGAGGCTCCTGTAAAATTCAAGTTAAGTGATGATGATGGCTTGACTCAGGATGGTAACAGCAGAGATAGTCAAAAGTTGGTGGATTCTAACTATATTTTGAAGGCACAGGATTTGCTGAGGAATTAGATATGAAATGTGTGAGAGAAAGAAAATAGTCAAGGATGACTCTAAAGTTTTTAGCCTGAACAACTGGAATTGCCATTTAATAAAATGAAGAAAACTGTGAGATCAGCAGATTTAAACTGAGATATAAGGAAATTAGTTTTGGGCATATAGACAGATAAAGTGTGAGATGCCAAGATGTTTACTGGATATACAAGTGGAGGTATCAAGTAGGGAGCTGGATATGGGAGTTCGGAGTTCAGGAAAAAGTTTAGGTTGGAGTTCAGAATTCAGGAAAACAGTTTAGATTGAGATATAGTTCAGGTTCGTTTTAAGTATGGAGTTGTCAACATACTTAAAACCTAAAGACTGGATGAGATCACCAATGGGTTAATGGCAGACAGAAAAAGAGGTCCAAGGATGGAGCCTTGGACTCTATAACAGCAGTTTTTAAGCTTTTGATCTCAAGATCCTTTTATACTGTTATAAAATTTTAAAGATATCTAAGAGCTTTTCTTTGAGTTTATCTATCAGTGTTTACTGTATTATCATGTTATCATAAATAACATTTTTAAAAGAAAAAATGTTTTCTAAAATAAAGGAAAATTTGGGGAGAATTATCATTGTTTTGCATTTTTGTAAACTTTTTTACTGTCTGGCCTTATAAAAGGTAGGTAGCTGGATTCTCATATAGGTTTCTGTATTGTGTGATGCTGTGTCATACGTCATGTAGACTGTGGAATACTCTACTATACATCATGGGAGGTTGGGAGTGAAAAAGGCAACTGATATTTTAGTGGTATTATGAAAATAGTTTTTGCCTTACTACCCCCTGAAGGGTTTCAGGGGTCCTCAGACTGCACTTTGAAAACTGCTGCTCTAACATTTAGAGGCTGGGAGGATTTGGAGGGAATCATCAAGGAGACTAAGAAGTTGCAGTCAAGGAGGATGGAGGAAAAGTAGACGAGCTTGGTGTCCTGGAGGCCCAATAAAGTATTTTAAGAAGAGTGGTCAAATGAAGTCAACCGTGGATGGAGACTGACCACTAGATTTGACATCATGGAAGTCATCAGAAACCTTGATAAAAGCAGTTTTGGTGGAGAGGTGAGTGCCAAAGTCTGACTGGAGTGGGCCACAGGATAAAGGTCACTTCCTCAGGTCACTGAACCCTAGACTAGGTTAATTTCCCCCAAATCTACTTGTACCTCTTCCATCTCCATTATGACCTTTTTTTTTTTTTTTTGTAGTTTATCTGTTTTAATACCTGTCTCTTCCATTAGATTTTAAGTTGTGTGGGAACTGGATAAAGGCAGTCTTACTCACTGCTGCTTCCTCAGCAAATAGCAAGTGCCTGGAACATAGTGAATACTCACATCTTCCCTAGTAAGCTTTTCTTAGAGGTAGAGAACTGACTCCCCTTAGCTTACAGGACACACTGCAAGTCTCATTACATTCTTTCTACCACCTGACCCTTCTTTTCCCAAAACAAACTTTGCACTTTCATTTTTAGGGTCTATCTTAGTCCATTTCAGCTGCTATAACAAAATACCACAGACTGGGTAGTTTATAAACAACAGAAATTTATTTCTCACAGTTCTAGAGGCTGGAAAGTCCAAGATTAAGGCATCATGTTCTGGTGAGAGCTTTCTTCCTGGTTTATAGTCAGAGCCTTCTTGCTGTGTTCTTACATGGTGTAAGGGGCAAAGGATCTCCCTGGGGCCTTTTTTATAAGGCACAGATCCCCATTCATGAGGGCTCTACCTTCATGACCTAATCACCTCCCAAAGGCCCTATGTCCTAATACCATCACCTAGGGCAGTAGATATTTAACATATGAATTCTGGGGACACAAACATTCAATCTATAGCAGGGCCCCCTACTTAGAAAGGACCCATACTTGGTTTAATGCTCCGCTGTTGCTGTCTTGAAATTGTTAATAATTTTTGAACAAGGGGCCTCACAAATTAAGTAGCTGGTCTCGAGTGAAGTGATGGATATACAAAGTTATGGAGCATAATCCTTTAACTTTGTCACTTGTTAGTTCAAACAAATACTTACTGATTGATCACTATATTATTAGGTAGCCAAGTGTAGTGGGAGAAGCCATGGCCACTCTAGGCAGGGGAGACTTCAGGAGCAAAGACTCTGAAGCCAGAAACAGAATGGGATATAGTTGGACAAGAATGGCTTTGTTAAGGTTTGTCTTTCTCTTGAAGGTTGTTCTCTCCCTTAGTGGTCCTAGTTCCCTTTATTAGCATCTTTTAACTAACACAAACCCATAGTGCTTTGAATTACAGTGAGCCCATTGACCCACAGATGTTAACTGGGCACTGCTTAGGGGATGAGCATTGAGCTGGGTGCTGTAGGGGATATAGATCCTGTCTTCCAGGAGTTTGCATTTCCTGAGGGAGGGGGAGATATGAGTAGTAAAGGCTAAACATGTTGAGGGCTGGTCTCCCTAGCATCGTGCTCAGTGCTCAGCACCAAACCAGCAGTGGATGTTGTCCTGCAGTATTTTGGATTTATAGGCCAATACTGAAATCGATCTCGTTCATTGTCCTATGGTAGAGAGAGAGAAAAAAAAATAACATTAGGGTTTTCTATACCAGGCTGCTTGTGAATACAATATGTGTGTGTGTGTGTATTTAAATTTTTTTTGTAGTTTCTTTTTTGTTGTTTTTTTTGTTTCTTTTTTGAGCATTCACCAGAAAGATAAGGAAGAGTGGGAATAAAATTTCCTAAATGGCCAGGGGGATAGGGGTAGAAGCCAGGTCCTTTCGCTTGCCTCATCAAACGAAGGGATGATTTCTAGGTCTTCCACCTTGCATTATGAGGTCCCTACAGTCGGATTCCAGTGCCACTCTGCCTCATGCTGTGAGACCTCAGTTTCTCCTGTAAAATAGGGGATGGGCCTAGAGGACTTTTCTGGAACCTGTGACACGGGAACACCTGTGGCACTCCTCAGAGGAGCATACCCAGGTCCCTGGGGCACCAGCCGGGGGTGGGGCCTGCGAAGGCCTCTCCTGGATATTCACCTGTGCGCTGAGAGGTGACTCACCTGCAGTCCCCGGCTCGCGGGCTGTTCCAGGAATCACCGCTCCTCCTTCCTCTCGAAGGGTCACTCCCAGCCTGGGCGCCCACTAGGGGCAAGAGATGAGGTAACTCTGGGGTGAAGTGCGGGGAGCAAGAGGTCCTCTTTGGAGTCTTGGCCCGGCGTCGCCAAGCTCTTTTGACTGGGGGCTCGCCCCGAAGCCAGGGAAAGCCGGGCAGCGGCGGGAGGCTCCCGGAAAAGCGCGCCGGAGGGAGGTGT